TTATCTTCACTTATACCTGGATTAATATTGGCTATTAGTTGTTTAAGATCTATTTTTTGTTTTGTAACCTTATCATCTAATTTAGATATTAATGAACTTAAAGGTTGTAATTGAGTTTTATCTACTACATTAAGTAATTGTTCTTCAATAAAACTTTTTAAACTTGTTACATATTGTTGTAATTTAGTATCATCAATAAAATCTTTATTGCGTGGCAAATCTATCGATTTGTCACGCTTTGTTTTCGTTATATTTATTTATTTATTTTTTATTTTTCTATACAAAATCGAAAATGGTGCAGCATAATTGTCTTCACCAAACATTTAATAAATGACCTGGAATCAAAAATGAATATCTAAAACTCAATTTTTGCTAAACCGGAAGTGTGCCAATGCATAATGTGCAAATATTTTGCATCAAGTCTGTAGGGCTTATTTACGAACCGATTTACCTGAAATTTTCTTTAATATGTTCATTGTTATGAGACGTATCTGGTGAGGCTAAAAAATATTTCAAATATTTTTGTCAAAAAAATTTGAATCCAAAATTTTCAAAAAAGCTCAAAATTTCTAACTCAGCCGCTAATTATCCGAGTGATCTGAAATTCACAGGACATATACAGAATGTCCATACAAATAAATTTATACAATCAAAATATTTCTATCGCTTCCGGTTTTTGCGTGAGAACTTCCGTTTTTTTTAAATCACGATGTTGGCAAAAACCATATATATTGTCTGGCAGTCATAACTAGAATGCACTTAGCAGAAAAAATCCAAACCGGAAGTGATGCATAAGCCGTCGCCTCGGACTGACCCATTTTAGCAAAAGATTTATTAGTCCTCCATTTTTCATCCGATTTTTATGATTTTGGTGTCTATTAAAACCTTATAACCTTGTCTACAGTTTGTTGGAACAGAATTTTGAATTTCGAATTTGAATTTTTTTTATATTCGTTTGAATTTTTTGAAAATTCAAAAAGCCACACCATGTGACTTTGACCTTCGATGACCTTGAAAATTTCACTGTAGGATGTTCTTGACCTCAGCTATCCACAGGTGTACTCATATTGGTTGAAAAATATTAACTTCCGGTTTAATAGAAACACAGAAAATTATTATTTTCAATTTTGTAATTCCCTTTTGATTATCTTTTCAATGATATATGACAATAATCCATAAAAATATTGGGTTTTTTTTTCGACTTCTAACTTATAATGTAATTAACTCCTAGCAATATGGTTTGTATATTCAGGATCTACTCAATTTTCTCTTTTCAACGATATGTGACATGGGTGGTTTAATACAAAATTGAATTTGTGAAAATAGGCATAAAAGTGTTAAATGTTTATAAAAAATGTGATAAAAATCTGTAGATTGTGGGGATTAAAATGATTGACCTATTTTATGTAGAACATTGAAACTTGGAACACAACAAGACAATTTGAATATAAATTAACCTATGACAAAAAAGTTGAGGTGGGCGTGGCACATCCGGGTTGAATTGCTAATTGTTTACATTTTGAGAAAGGGGCATAACTCGCATAGGATACATTTGTTCAAAAAGGAACTTTGCACACAATTACCTCATTATTTTGGCCAGTTTGTGTTAATAGGTCAATTGTTTCAGCTTTATAGTTCCAAAAAAGGAACGGGTTTTGAAATTTCCATATTTTCAATTTTCTATTTTGACCTTTATTGACTCTTGTTGACCTATATCTTTTGACCTGTATGATGTAGAAGCTTTAAATTTGGAACACAACTTAACATTCAGAATATCAATTAATATATGCGAAAGAAATTGAGGTGGGCCTAGCACATCCGGGTTAAATTACTCATTATTGACAATTTTGGCAAGGGACATAACTCACAACGTATACATTTGTTCAAAATGGAACTTTGCATACAATTACTTCATACGTTGAGCCACGTTGTCTTGGAAGTTCGATTGTTTCAGCTTTATAGTTCAAAAAAAGGAACAGGTTTTGAAAATTCAAAATTTTCAATTTTTGACCTTGACCTTTTTTGACCCTGATTTTTGTAGGATTAAAGGTCATTCACATTGGCTATCTATTTATACTTTTATATTTGCTGTCCTATCTCAACTTCCGGTTTTATAGCCGTATATATTTAAAAATTTTGATGACTTTTATCTCGTAACCTTGACCTTTGTTGACCGTCTTCCTTTCAATGTCAAATGTCATTGACCTTGGCTATCTTCTGATACTTTCATTTGTGCGGTCTGTCTACTTCCGTTATAACAATCTTCCAAAGAATTCTTCTCAACTTGAGACTGCTCTTGCGCATGATGTAATTATCGTAGAAGGTTGATTTTTTCAGAGTCTTTTGCAATTTGCTACATTTGCAAAGTCCCACTCTGTGCCACGTGTGGCTCTAGTTTTTTAATTTTTTGCAAAATTTCCCCTTATGATAATAAAACATACTTATTTAGAGCAGTGACTTTTTGATACATTAACCAATTATTGGTGTTATGCTGAGGGGATGAAAGCTTATTATAGGTCATAAATAAATTAGTCTGACTACATAATCTTTTAGTTCTATAATAATTCACATGTTTTTTCGAGTTGTGCTATATTTTCACTTACAATATTAAAACAAACGCTCATTTAGAGCAGTGAATTTTCACTACATTTACCTGTTCACGACCTTTGCAAAATGAATATGACAATACACCTCAAATTCCCGACATTTTATATGATAAAGGCCAAAGTAGCAAAGTTTGTACTGAAACTAATATAAGCAATATTTCGAAAAGTGATGCTATTTCCTTAGTTAGATCCCTGAATGAAATACAGTCTCAAGTTTTTTATGACGTTCGCCAGTATTGTCTGGACAAAGTTAATGGTATAAACCGCGATCCATTTAGAATCTTTGTTACTGGTTCAGCTGGTACCGGTAAATCTCACCTTATCAAATGTATTCAATACGAAGTGTCTCGAATTTTTGCGAAAACTGTGGAAAGTTTAGATGACATCACTGTTCTCTTTACCGCACGAACTGGGGTGAGTGCTTTTAATATTGGAGCGTCAACTATTCACAGTAGTTTTTCAAAAAGAAAGGTGTTCTCATTTCCACCTTATCAACCATTGGGACAAGAAACTATTAATACATTAAGATGTAAATATCGCAACTTACAAATATTAATTATAGATGAAATTTCAATGGTAGATCATAAGCATTTTTGTTACATTCATGGGCGATTAAGGCAAATAAAGGGTACCGAATAGTTATTTGGAAATATCTGTGTCATATGTTTTGGAGATATGTGGCAACTAAGACCAGTTAAAGGTAATAGTTTATGTCATGAAAGTGTTCATAGACCTATGGGACGGTAATTTCAAACTTGTTGAACTTGAGTTAGCCTTTGCCCAAACATTGAATAGAATAAGACAAAGAAAAAAAAGTTAACCAATGCTTGCTTTAGACGTCAAAATGTTACAGTGTAGGGTAACTGGTAAAGAAGATGATTGTCTGCACATATTTTCTACTAATCAGCAAGTTGATGATTATAATTCTAGGATGATTGATGAAAAATGCCCGAATTCTGTGTCCATCAGTGCTTTAGATTATTCAAAAGATGTTGGAACCGGTAAAATGACGCTTAAAACCGCATGTGTTAAAGTGACTGATACACCATTAGTGTATTGCTTAAAAATAGGTGTAGGGTCAAAAGTTATGTTAGTAATTAATTTAAATGTTTCTACTGGCTTGATAAATGGAAGTTTTGGTCAAGTAACATTCATTCAAACTGATCAGAATAATCAAAGTGACAAAATTTTTGTAAAATTTGATAATGCTAAAGTTGGAATAAATGAAGATAGTGTTCCACTTCCGCCAAATGTACCACGTGGTAGTATTGGTATTGAGAGATATGAAAGCCCTCATGTTAACTATAAGGGCGATGTTAGACGCCAGTTCCCATTATGTCTCGCCTATGCAGTTACTATTCACAAAGTACAAGGTCTAAGTCTCGATAGAGGCGTAATATCACTTCATAAAATATTCCAAGCTGGTTGCGTTAAGCAGAGTTAAAACATTACAGGGTCTTACAATACAAGATTTTACGGAATAAAACATATATGTGATGAATTGAATGTGCATTAGGAGCAATGGATACTTTTTTAAAACCCGAAAACGAGACCATATCAACTGATACTAATATAATTTTACACAATGTTCAGGGTTTATCTATTCATATAGAGGATTTACAGAAACACAGGAAAATGCTAGAAGGTGATGTCATTTGTTTAACAGAAACATGGCTAAATAATTCAATAAATAAAATAATTCAGCAAAACTAAAGATAAATGGTTTCCGTCTTCACCACCATCCTCGAAGCAGCAGCTATGATGACACTAGAGATTTCAAATTTTTGAAAGAAAAGGGGCACGGAGGAGTAGGAGTATATTATAAGCAAAACAAAAATGTCATCATTTTAAAAGTGGGAGCTTTAAATATAGAACGCATTGCTTTGAATATTAAAGTAATTGTTATCTATAGACCACCCGTTTATCGATTAGATTTATTTCTCCCAATGTTAGAATGATTATTAGTTGAATTACAAGAATCTGGTTCAGACTATGTTATTATGGGGGATTTCAACCAACATATCTTGGAGGGTCATTTGTCTATACTAAACTGTTTTCAAAAATTTGGTTTTCAACAACTTGTTCAGTATTTACACAACTGAAGGTGGGACACTTATAGATCATGTTTATATCAGTAAAGAAATTCCGTCACATAATGTTCACATTTCACACATACCTGTATATTATAGCTACCATGAAGCTATTAAAATAACCATACGATAAGTTATATTGATACAAGATTGAAGTTACCCTTTCACAAAACATTTCATTTAGCTTGGCTCTTTACTAAAAGTGGTCGAGTCAGCACCGGGCTTGAGAGGGTTTGAAGTTCAAAAAAAGTCTTACAGCTATTAGGCACAGTATCACGGGCCACGCTCAGCGCTGTTCACAGCTCTAGTTATTTATTTGTCGTTTGAAGTATCTTTTCACATCGCCTATTCTTTCTTTTAAATGTTCTTTATTTACTCCAATTAAATTTAATTGATCCATTAAATATTTCTTGTGAACAGCATCATAATCATTTTCTGGTAACTTTAAATTAGTTATGGTAAAATTATTCATATCTAAATCACCTTGAAGCGTGTCTCCAATTTGTTCCACAAAATAAAATTTTGCTTTATTTATCCATGCTGCTGTGTTAGGCTTTTTAGTATCTAAAGGTAAAGAACCTAATCCAAATTTATTCGCCCTTTTTATTAAGTTAAATTTATTACAATTTCTTCAAACTGTTTTCCTAAACTTAATTGACATAAAACCCAAAGTGATAGTTGACCACAAAATATTTGACCCGGTATTTGAATTTGAAATGTTGAACATTTGATTGCTTTCACTAATTGCATTATCTCTTCACTTGGTTCTAATCCAAAAGAATCGAAGAAACAAAAGTTATTTAAAGAATCTTTGTATAAAGCAGAGTGATGAACACCGGCTTGATCTGAAGTATGTATATTTGTTATGGCACAAAATTTGCCTTTTTTATTCTTGAGATTATTTATTTCATCTCGCATACAATAATAAAACGGTGATATATTTAACTCATTTGCCTATCTCGTTGAAAGTTTGTAGTTGTATCGCTTCCATATTTATCGAGAAAGATATTCATTTTTAAAAGTCAGTTTTTTGAAGTTCGTTTTGATAAAACCTACCTATGATTTGTTCTTTGTCTTGATCGATTTATTCATATGTTGGAGGTGATGTGGTGTTTACTTTATCTACGATAAATATTTCTTTGGTCCAAAATCCAACGTAGCCTTTTTCGAATTTGCTTTTATATTCGAAAATACGAACGCGATCTCCGACTTTAAATTTGGGTTTGATATTTAAAGTATTTATTTCATTTTCGTAGTTATGTTGTGCGTTAATTGACTTTATAATATTTGGATTATTTGTAGCTTGTGTTGGTGTGTTGATAGATGAATTAATTTTGTTATTATATTCATCTACAACCTCTGGTAATATTTTAAGCCATTTTTGGGATTTCAATTCCGTGAACTTTTTGAATAATTTATTTTTTAGAGTTCTATTATATCTCTCAATAACTACAGCTTTACCTTCATTATGCGTGCTGTAAATTTCAAATCCCAGAGATTTCATATTTTTGTTATAAAATGCACTTCCTTTATCTACCCATAACTTTTGAGGTCGTCTGTCAGATTGTTTCATTATTGTTTAACTGATAAACCTGTTTTGATTTTGAGAGGAATAACCCAAGTATATCTTGTGTACAAATCTGTAACTGTTAAACAATATTTATATCCTCTTTCAACAGGCATATTAATTAAATCAGCTGACCATATTTCATCTTTATCAAACACTTTGACTTTTAAAAAATGTTTAATTTTTTCTAAATTCTTTGTGTATTTCATCTGCTATTCCCAAACCCATTTTCATCTTTGCTTTCAAGAGTTTAATGATTAATGCTCTTTGCATTCTCTCTTTAAAAGTTGGATTTGGAATATTTTCAAGTTCGATTATGATTTGTTTGTCTGCTTCGTGTCTGGATGTCATGTCTTTATTTCTGTATAGTATATCATGTTTAAGTGCAGCGGCGTCAATTCTATTGACGGGTTCTTCACCTGGTTTTGGTTCATCGTTTTGATCTAATCGTAGATCTAGCCTAGTACCTGGACCAGTATAATTATGACCGGGAAGATGTTTTTCTCCAGGATATTTTGCCCATGGAAATCCAGGAAGAGAACCTAATGATTTTTGAATGTCAGAACCGAAATAAGTTTTAGGAGTTTGAGCAGTTATCATTGACATTTTTATCCAATAATTTTAAAACCATTGCCTTTTCTTTTCTAATCTTTTATTTCGCATTTCTCTTATATGTTGTAATTCTTTCAACTCGTTAGATCTTTTCACTGCTTCGCTTATATTTACTCTTGCTCTTGCTACAGATCCAACAGCTTGGGTACCGGAGGAAATGAGGGATTTGTTGTTTGAGACAAAGTTGGCTACTTTTGGGATGAGAGATGATAGAGCTGAGAAGAAGCCGTTTCTTTTGAATTTTTTTTGTTCATGTTTAAAAATTAAACTCATTCTGTTTTTAAATGAGTTAATTTAATGAAGAAATCTATTGAGCAAAGAAGTATATGTATTAGACCACCAACTATAATTTTCAAGCAAAAACCGAGGGTTGAGTAGTACTAGAGTATATGGATTCCCTGGTTTTATGTCCTATTTACGGTTCTTGTTTTGTGGCATGTAAAGCAAACTTGTATATCCTTTAAGAGCTTAAATTTTACAGGTTGACCATCCTGTCTGTCAGTAGTCACCAACCTGTTGGTGTGTAATGATTACATGTATATCAAAACATTTATGGAATCTGCGAAACAAATGTAGATTTGTTCATCTAATACACATGTTTGGTACATGGGGAACATGATCCTGGAAATGGATGATTCAGCTTTACGGAACCAGCCAAGAGTTACGAAATGCAATTGTTGTAAATATATGGATATGGAATTACTGGTGTCATTTGGCTCAAGTAATGGGCCCATAGTATCAAATGAAATTGCTGTGAAATGGCTCTTATTGCAAACCTTACTATAAATATACCTCCCCGAAATAAAGAATAATAATTGACCAATGCCTGTAGCAGTTAATTCTCACCATATGATATTACTCTCTACAAAATCCTATCAATGATCCTTTTACTATGGTGTTATTTCTGCTTTCCAGGATGTGTACTACTTACGAAAGAGGACTAAAGTGTGTAGTTAAAAGGAGTGCGGATAATTGCGGTGAGGTGGAATATTCTTAAAACAATACAGACATCTCGATATTCTTTGTATGAGTTTTGTTATGCATGAGTTCAATACACACCTGTATCCCTGTTTCACAATTTATCTTAACTGGATATCCAAAATTTACAAATGTAATATGAAAATGCTTGTTCGTTATAGATGTTATATATTGGTCGCATGTGATATTGTTCTTGCATGAAGGTTCTGATTATTATGTTGAAATCGTGGATGCATTAAAATTGCGTGCAAAAATGTGGGACTTCTCTTTGCAAGATCTATAACCTGCAAAGCCTGCAACACACAGGGTTACGGTTAATTTTCTCATCCATAATCTGTCTGTCTGGGTAAAACATTTCCCAAAGTGTCTTATGTATATTTCAATGTATAAACTCCACACATAACAAAACCGGATACAAAAATATTTGGTTGCTCGATCAACTACTGATGGTGTTCTCAATATCGGTAATGTCATCATATTTTTTCGTCTTAAATATTGAATGAAAGGGGATTAGTGTTCTAAAGGATAAACTTATATAGTATACACTGCAGGAGCCCAATATCTGTTATACCGTTCAGAAGCGACAGACAGGTTCCCCAACAATTAAAGCAAATATATATTGTTAGCGGGAGGTTTCAGTCTTGAAATGTCATACACATAGCTCGCATAGAGTTCAGTCGGCTTTTAAGCTATAAATTTCGACGACTATGTTAGTGTCAGTACTCCAATAAACCTTTACTCTCACTTTTAGAATGCATATGGACTTATCTCTCCCCAGGTTATTTTATTTTCAAAATTTATAACTATTGTAAGATGCAAATTTCTTTGATATCAATTTTAGTTTGTTTAATTATTATCTTTGTAGGTACAATTTTATGTTTTAGAATGCTGTCAACGTCCACCTGAATATTGTAATGATGACAACGGTAACGGTGGGGGTAACAGTGAAGGTAATTTTTATTTGTCATCAATGCATTATAGAAGTCTATCAGTATATGTTTTTGACATCGGCTCCCATGAATACCATGGACGATATGTGCACTGGTGCAAAGTGATACTAAGTACTCACAAAGGGACAATGGTACAACTTATACTAGTAAAAGAATTTTTTAATCTTTCACCTTTAACAATTATTAGAAACGTTGTATAACAAAATCTAATAGTTCATTTCAGTATGTACTTCCCTCAATAATTGTGATCTGGAACGTTGTACAACAAAATCTAAGAATTTATTTTAATCTGTTCAACCATCAATAATTTTGATCTGAAACGCTATATATTGAAATAATAATTTATCCAATCTGTCCAACAATCAGTAATTATACAACCAAACCTACTGTGATCTGGAACGTACAACTAAAACTAATGATTTATTTCAGTCTGTTCTCACATCAATAATTGTGATCTTGGATATTGTACTACTACAACCAGTAATTTATTTCAGTCTGTTTAACCATCAGTAACTGTGATGAGAGAGATTGTGCAATTAAATCGGATCCGAAATGCCAGAAATGTGACGGATCAGTAGCTGATATCCCGGGTCATCGGGCCTATCTTATATCGGCTGATAAAAGATTATGTAAAAGTAAGATGTTGATAACAACATTGAACTGTTTACCTTTTGATTTTGATTAAAAATTAAAATTATGTTCCACAAATATTAAGTTTGTTGGTCGGTCATATTTTACAAAAGAAGAAAAAGTATCACTAAATTAACTCTATGACTTTATACAAGGTTGCTGAAAATAACACGACATAACGTTTGAGGATACGTTTGTGCATATGTAAAAAAAAAACCTCATTAATATCTGCTGTGATACAATTTTTAATTTGGCTAAACTGACTTTAAGATATATTATTATTAAGTACCTGAAGTTCAAAGATACTGTCATAATCACCATGAAAGCATGATTATTTCTTGAAAGTTGGCGTTTGCAATCTTTTCTTACAAGCTTTCGTTTGTAAACGGTCTCTCTGTTGTTATTACGGAAATAAGGGTTTGCTGTTTACTTTTACCTTCGTGTACATAACACAACAAATTAAAGCACCATAGCTTTGACCAGATTTTAGATTTGTGATGCAATGTCGGTACCCCACAGCCCCATTTATGGATATATGAAGACAATCGTGGGAGTTCATTTTATCTTTTTTATATAGAGGCTTGTTCATGGAGACCCGATAGTAGTAGATGTTATCCTGGTACATGTAAAGATGAACTGTTTTCGAACTGTGATTGTTCTGATGGGTTTACTGGTAATCATTGTGAAAAAAGTGAGTGTATTATATGTGTAATGATCATTATTAGTGTGATAGATGCAAAATAGTAAAATAATTTTGATCATATTAACTTCTATAGTTCTGTATTGTATAAAATACACAGAATGTCATTTTACTATAGGAAAAATTGTAAGTCAAAAGATATTCATCGATTTTGGCAAAACACTTGCAGTATTCCTCAGAACTTATGTTTTAAAGTTAACGATATTTAGTATTTTATTTATTTAATCACCATAATTAAGAATGTTTACGTATATTTGGTATGGTGATCTTATGTGGCATACGTTTACATATATTCACATGCATGTGTTTTCTTTGTACAAACAGTATCCGTACGCTTTACGTAGGTTTTCGATAATTTTCTGTGTATCTAATCTCCGGATTCCGACTTGTCCATTCATTGCTTGATACAGTACTGAATCGGTTCCATATTTGCCTGTATGATTTCGTTTCAGTTACTACTATCCCTAATATTCTATACAATCAAGTAACGCTAACTGCTGATAATAATGAAAGTGTTGACGCTCCTGGTGATTTTGGAGCTGGTTCTCCTCAACCAATAACATGGACTAATATAATGAAACCAGCCAATCTATATTACTGTTTTCAATCAAATTACTATAAACCAAATACTATCCCAATTCAACCATTTGTGGTCGATTATAAAGTTGGTATTATTGATGGAAAGATTACTTTCAGGAAGTGTAGGTTGTAGTTTCAATTTTTATGTACATTTATTTTCTTCACAATAGGATTTAGACAGGAAAGGTGATGCCAGTGTTAATTCATGTATTCGTAGAACATAGCTTTAACATACCTACTTTAAGAAGCACTTTGCCCGCCTAAGCCTACTGAAACAAGTGGTTGACTAGCAAGATACGCCCATTTACTCAATAAATGTTCACCATATCAAGGGCCGTCGTCAATATTTGTGAAAATGTACCAAAAATGTAACTTATCTAAGATATTTATTGATTTAAATCTTCACACAAAATATGATAAAATTCCTTATATAAACTGTTGCTGCTATTGAGTTCACGAACCAGATTATCATGTTTTCAGTGTATCAAGAGTTATAAATGAATACAATCCCATTCATAGTACATGGCTTTTATCTTTAAGATGGTGGAAATGGGGATCAAACGCAGACCGTCAGTTGTCCCACCATCAGTAAAGATAATCCCAATCAAGGAAATTTAGTTTGTACAAAAACCATACAACCTCCATTCTTTGTACCCTTCCAACATCAAGAACGGTAAATGCCCACGTTTCCTGTTAGAAAATCATTTTTAAGATTTGTCAGAAATTCTCTGCAAATGTTTTTGTCCTGCAGCTTTTAATGAGCCACAAAAACGAAATGTGACAAAATGGTCTGAAATATGATATTTGTGTATAAGCTTGGTTTAAAATAGCTACCTTAATTCAAATACTTAACAGTCCCCATAGACTACACCATAAGCATAATTATTAATAATATTTGCGTAATTTTCTTACATTTTAACTTGTTTTTACAACATTCTTTTCAGTCTGTCTTTCAACATAACATCAACGATTGGAGGATTTGTTAGAATAAAAAATTTGGAAAACAATGTATACACCACCTACTACTACACTCCAAACTCACTATCACGTGTTTTTGAGATTAATTTTGACAATGTACCGCCATACCATTGTCAATTTGTCAACAATTGTAAACAAACCATGTTAACTGATAATGATATCACCGAGAAGGTAAACCTAGAAACCTCAACTTATTGTAATATCGACGATATGAGGTGGTATCTTATTTTCTGATGGCATGAACATATTATCGTCCTTTGTTATTGGGTGATTATTGTCTTTGTGCTCTTTATACCTGTCCGTGATTAGATGATATGTTTAGCATTTCAAATAAGTTCGATATTTATATTTTAGGCAGAGAATGTGGTGTATTGGGACGGTTGGATTCTGGTATAGCTATATATGAATTAGAAATATTCAGCATGAAGTCAGTAGGAAATGAATTAATAATAGACAAACGAGTAATTGACACAAAAACTACATTGGTAGGTATTGATGATGTATAATATTGTCCTTCCTTGATATATACTTTATTATATGATTGTGGCTGCAGACAAGACCACAATAACATTAGAAAAAAGAAATGAAATGAATGGAGTTTTACGTCCTACTTGTCTGCACCATGTGGGCTAATGAAGATGGCCAACGCCATGCACTCTGCAATGAGGGAAATTTTGCCAGGGCTGCGGCATTAGCCTGCTCTTTTTCGACTTTAAACTGTCGAGCGATCTTTAACGTGCACAGCCTGTAGCACACGGGGCCTCGGTTTATTGTCCCATCCGAACGACTAGACGCGTTTTCCATGTCAGCCCCTCTTACCTGCATCACTGACAGGGGGAAACTGGGTTGAAAAATCCGAAGGTATTATCTCGACCTATGCCGGGATTGAATCCTGGACCTCCAGGTTAGCGAGCAAGCGTCTCACTGAGCCACCGCGGCTCCCACACAATAACATCAGAGAAAACACACATGTCGCCTTGATATTCGCTTTGAATAGCGGAAACTTCGTACATGTCTGAGGTATTATTCAGTTTATGTGCTTGAGATCGGAACTTTTTAAAAGTACTTCGATGTGTTTGTTTTACGTTCTCATGTTGGAAAAATAAAATATGTTATCTTTTAACAAATATTAAAAGTAAAATGCGACGAAGACAATAAATCAAAGTGATCTCATTTTTAAGGAAAGTGTGTCAGGTTATTTTTGTTCACAAACCTATAGTGACGTCATCTTGTTCATTTAGGGATTTTATATATCTGGGACTTAATACTAATAATCCCGGGTAACTTATTTTACTATTAGAAAGTTAAGTTTTCGTTCCCATGTCTAATGCCGGCTAATTTGCCAGGTTTGCACCCCTTCAAGGTTAAACACTCCTCTACAAAATGGTTAGGACGTTTTTGTCTTCGGTCACATCGTGGAGATATTTGGTGCATCTACTTGATACCCAAGAGTCAACGCCTAAACAAAAAAAAAATAGCTCACTGGTCGGCTGATCTTACAGGGTATTGAAGGCACGAGTGCCTTTTCTTTCATTATTTTTCCCCCGGGTTGTTAGGTTATAAATATAAAAAACCTCATAGGAATTGATTTATCCTATATACATTGAATCATACCATGAAGAAGTTTGTATTCATTCTCTGATAACGTCTGTATGAGTTAATTATTTTGGAAACAATAAATAAATATTGTATTATATTTTTATTACAGCAGAAAAGCCCACAATTTAATTTACAACATTCAGGTGTATATTCTGTTATACTTGCTGCAGTAGATAAAGCTGGTAACATTAGACTTGCTAGACGATGTTTGATATTTGATGATAACAGTCGGGTATCAACTGTTCATGATACTAATTTAAAAAGCACGTCAGCGTCACCTTCTACTAACTACCTCTGGCAACAAAATCATGGTCCTGTTACTATTGACTGGGAAAATAGATATATTAATACGAAACATCATAATGGTAAATATCTAGCTGGAATCCAGGATTATCATGGTCTAGATCCAGAATATGATGACAATAATGGAAAAAGAACAAGTCGACCAATTGATAATGTTCAAGGTAAATTTCTCAATAAACTCAGACTTTTACTTTTTTCAAGGACAAAATAACTCTTGAAAATATTGCCACTAATGTCATCATGTTGTTCATGCGGATTTTTAATATCTCATTACATCCCTTTCATATTGAATCCCTTGCTTGCTAAGAGGCCTACGTTTCTACGTAAAGACTAACAGAACGTGTAGCTCACTGGTCGCCGGTTGCACTCCTTTGCCGATAAAACGCCTCTTCTATAGAATGTTATGTACTGAATACAAATGAGAGACCACGTTGGTCACAGGCAAATTGTGTTCGAGGTTTATCTTTAGTTTAAGGCGGAAGATTTTATCATATAATTGTCCCTCCCTAGTCTAACTCACCAATTGTCGCTAGTACGACGAACCGAATCTTGTTGGCACAAGTTGGATTCCTTATTTCATTTACATTGATTCTTTGCCAAACAAAAACAAAGCACAAATGAGTCCTTGCCAGTTTGTGGATTTCAAATATATTATAAAGCCCTATATAAGGCCGTGTTTTATACTGGATGTAAAGTTTGATGTGAAGACATAAATTTGTATCATAGAATGTACCATTAATGTGGATAATCTGTTAGATACAATATTTTTATGCTTAGGCAGTGAATAACAAAAAAGGTTCTGGTGGAATATATTGCACTTGTTATAGGTATAGTATGTTATGAAACATATTATGGATTAGATGCTCATGGAGGTTCTACCATTGAACCAACAGATAATGATTTTACTACAACTGGTTACCTGAAACAATCTATAACAATTTCTCCTAAATTACAAGATGGTGATACTGTCATATTTTATATAAGAGCTTATGATATAGTAGATTTTTACCTGGAAGAATCCACCACAGTATATTTTGATATGTCGCCACCTGTTATAAAAGATCTATGGTTAACTAAAGGAGATGATTTAAATATAGCTGTCCATGAATTCCACGATTTTGATAAACTAGTGTAAGTTCAAAATGTGATGATAATTGATATCCAGTCATCCTATATATTTTAAGAATTAGAAGCCCACGAACGGTATTTCATTCCCCCCCTCCCAACCCCCACGCCCCTACAATTTCGTTCTGTTTTGTACTAGCATTTATTTTTAATTCAACCACTTTATTTAGGGTCTTTAGACTGCTCTCTGGAACATTTGTATGTTTGGTGACATCGCCAGCCAATTAAATGTCTACCCTCTCCAACGCTGAGATTGTGTGATGCGTCCATTTAATACTATTGTATTTTATGCGTAATTATAAATAGATGTAGTTTCCTTGTAATCTTATGCTCGTCAACAGGATAGAATGGATAGCGTATGATCTTCACAGTGGACTAGAAACAGTAGAGTGGAAACTTCATGATAATTTTACTGGTGATGTTATATTACATGGTTCACAACATATACCAGTACAAGGGGAAGCACAGGTTGGTGATTCTAAATATGCCCCCTACAAATTATCAATAGGCTGTATCCTCGTATTTAAATTGAATAGTTGAAGATGTAAGCCTATCATATTCTCTATTCTATCTTGTGTAGGTCTAACATTAACCGATATATCTGATTTCAGAACCTACCAGAATGTGAAAAGAAATATAAAACTTTTTCTCGAGGATCTGATTGTTATTGTACACCTGCTGTTGGTTGTTATCATCAACATTTTCAAGTTAAACCTGGTGTATCATTAGATAAAGGGACTGGATTAATTGACGGAAAACATCAAGGTGTACATGATCATGATTATTATATTGAAGTTAATGTTATGAATAATGCCAAACTGAATACAACTCTCATATACAAGGTAAGTTGAATTTACATTTATATTAGAAACAAAATAAAGAAATATCGATTAAAATCAGTATCTACTAACCTAACCTCCAACTGACCAGCAATTCATTTAAAAAAAATACATACAGGCAAGACAAATTCCGTCAATCAAAAATCTCGCCCAAAAATTCGACATCTTCACAAGTCTGCTTTTCATTTTTTTTGTAGATTACCATAGATACAAGTCCACCAAATGTTGGTGTTGTACATGATGGTAGGTATGGTGAACCTGAAGTAGATTACCAACCCGAAAGAAATCTGCAAGCGCATTGGGAGGGATTTTTTGATAAAGAAAGTGGTTTGAGATATTACCACTATGGTTTTTCTACAAGATGTTTAACTGCTGAAGAAATTTTTGAAATTTTTGAAATCCAGAACACTCCAGTACGATTTTATTCTTCAAATATACCATTTTATTAATTTAAATTTATCTTACTGTACCATAGTTCAGTTGGATGTTATTAACTAAGTATATCAGTAATCATGTTTTACGTAGGAAATCTAAATTAAACATAAGTGAATCGGAATTTGATTACACAAAAAGATTAATCATTTTTTGAAAGTTAAACTATGTGATCATTTAACATTTACAAACCTTATGGGTGTTTATTATTATTTCAATGTTTATTAAAGGGAATCTTTGAAACAGTAGTAACTCACGCTACCTGGTTCGCACCTACAGATGGACAGTATTTTATCACAGTGGTAGCCTATAACACAGCTCTACAACCCTCTCAACCTGTATGTTCTGATGGTGTTGTAATAGATTCAACACGACCTATCGTCAGTGAAATATTTATAGATCAAGCTAGAATAGAAGCAGGATTAGTTTCGAAAGATGGAAAGTTATATTATATCAATAATAGAAGACTAATTCATCACATGCAAAATCCAGATCCCGCTTGTTTGTAAGTATCACAAATTGCAATTGTATGTGATTGTTTCCCAAGTAGAAAATCATGATCAAACTTCTTCTGTAATCAATAAACTGTTTATGTAAAATGCTGGGTACCTGCACACCTGAAAAGTTAATTGTTTTTAATATATTCAGACAAAAAGGAAGACCATTAGAAGATATCTCGTCGTTTCCAATAGAAAGATATCCCAATCAAACAATACAAGATAGAGATTTATGTCAAGAAGAAACATTACCTATACAATATCTAACACAATCATACCTAGTAGAACATTCTCATGTAGGTCTACTTGTATTTAATATTTAAACTGTGGCATGTTGGAAAAACCTTCTTTGTGCTGTTTTATAATTGCATGTAATACAATATTTGTACCCCAGGGTTATAGTTTTTTTCTTTGATAACTCAAAAACACAACAACAGTTTACATTTCATGTATTTTGTTTAGGTAAATATTCATTGTTATGAAATATCACGAATGTAACTCTATGTTTTTCTTCAGTTTTGAGTATTGAGTAAAAAGCATTTAACCGTTTCCCCTTCAGATACATGTACCGTCTTCATTAGCCCACATGGTGCAGAAAAGTAGGACGTAAAACTCTATTCATTTCATTTCATTTCATTTCAGATATATGTAAACTGGACTGGTATAGATGTAGAATCTGGTATTTATGATTATCAGTTTGGTTTATCATCAGAGAGAGATTCTATACCTGATTTATTACCATTTCACTCTACAAATCATCATGCATGGTACCGAGGCTATCATCCACAACTAACTGATGGTACAGAATTCTTTATTCATATTAAAGCTACGAATAAAGCTGGACTAGAAACTATTCAGGTTAGTGCATTATTCGACTACATACCATACATATATTGTCTACCCTTGCTCAGAATATATTTTATAGCCTACGACCATATGGTAATAATAATGTATTTAGCGGTGTAAATCCGATCTATTATGATAGAGTACTGCCTTATTTTTCAGACTCTAGGACCCATAATTGTTCATACTTCTAAACCTAAATTTACTGGTAACATAGATGTGGTATTAATTCTATTCAATCACACGACGTAGGCTATAACGCCTATCCTAGTTCAGAATTGCAATGATTTAACATACCAAATATTGTGATTCTCTCTTTTGTTTTTAACTTTTAGAATTCGTGCTATTATCTGTAGGGTTAATATTGTATCTGTTTTATATCTTTTCACTGGAATCTTTAATGACTTTCAGTTGATAAGTTTATATATATATGACCCCTTATATTCGGTATAATTTTAATTTTATTTGAAATAATACTATATTTTGATCTGTTTTTTTTTCTGTCATATCTTTTCATTCTTAACCTCTTTTTAAGAATCTAGGACCACTGATAGTTCATACTTCTAAACCGAAATTTAGTGGTAAAATAGATGTCGTACTAGACAATAATCTGTTGGTAGCCAATTGGTCCAATGCTGTAGTTAAAGATCCTGGTCACAGTCAACTGAGATATACAACAGCTATTGGTCAGTAAACATTTCAACAGCCTCTTTATACACGCCATTTCCACATCCACGTCCGAACAGTATCAGAGTAATGGCTTCTCTTTTAAGATATTAGATCAGGTATTGTGTTTATTCTGGTTCAAAATAAGCAAAAACAAAAATCAAATCAATTAAACAAAGTCAATTGCCACTAACCGACAAAACAAAAGTGTATCTGGTTAAAGTCCACGCGAGAACCATATGCACATCATTTGTAGCGGGGTCTGTGAATAAGACACTTGAAATCATGATGGAATACAATAACTAAATTTGTCAGTACGAATGAAATTTACTTATCACTTTTCAAGTCAAGGGAAGTAACTCTATTTTGTATGTATTCAGTAGACCAATTGATCTTAATTGAAGATATTTTTTTTTCAGGTACAACTGAAGGCGGCCAAGAAATCATCAAGTTTTCAGATTTAAACTTTAATGTACCCTGTCTTGAAGCCTTACCACCCACCTGTACTGTATTTGATATTATGAAATTAGACTGGAGTTTACATCATGGATATAAATATTATATATCTATTAAAATAGAAAATACAGTTGGTCTTCATACAGTAATATCATCAGAATCTTTAACATATAAATCATTATTACCATCTAAAGGTGTGGTAATTGATGTTGGGTTAAAGAGTGAAATGGACTTCTTCAATATTTTGGTAAGAAATCCATACAAAAAACATATCTTACTTTCTACAAAGTTAACTTCTGGACATGAGAAAAATTAATCTTGCTGTGTATAATGTCCTTGACTTAAATCAGTAAGTGATAGGAACCGATTGATCTATAATACAAGATCATCGCTGGTCATCCTATTAAGTTATACCTAATCACTTCCATTCTTACCTCATGTCCAACGGAGTGAAGCTATCTGACGGTCTACTATTATATTCTGATTATGTGAACTCGAAGACAGTGACTATCAACTAGTATATTATAATTATAGGAACTTGAAGATAGTGACTATCAACTAGTATATTATATTTATAGGAACTTGAAGATAGTGACTATCAACTAGTATATTATAATTATAGGAACTTGAAGATAGTGACTATCAACTAGTATATTATAATTATAGGAACTTGAAGACAGCGACTATCAACTATCTACTAGTATGGTTAGTGTACGATGGTATGGATTTGAATCCCAAGAAGAAATATCTACAGGTATCAATTATAAAGTAGGAATAAGGAGAGAGAATGACAGTGAATTTATACAATCTGTTCATGTCAGCCAACAAACTGAATACACCTTCATTGATCTCCAGTTACAACTTCATCAGGTACGGTTTTTGAATGTTTCGTGTATTATTCATATTCATTTTATTATTTAAATGTGTATTTGTGAGTAATGGATAGAACATCTAGTGCTTTAGGGAGAGCGAGATGGAAAACGATTTCAAAACTACGGATTGGATTATCACTCGACTACCTATCAGTCAGTATACCTATCGACAAATTTATTTTTGTAAATATCTTTTCTAGAAATATATTGTATCAGTAACTGCTACAGTAGCTGGTGTTGGCAGTGTGACGTCATCATCTGATGGAATGACAGTTGTAGACAGATCGGAAGATTTGAGTGATGAAGTTGAATTAAAAGATGGTACTGCTTGTTTTCAGCCAACTGGTAATTCTTATCGTATTTTACCCTTTTCCCATTACATAATTTGTTTATGTCACTATCCTATAAAATAACAACGAATTTTGAAGATCAAACGTCCTGTGGACACCCACCTCTATATGAAACAATTAGTTACCCCAAATTTAATATATATTGATATAGAATATATTAGTGATGATAATTATGCTGTTTGTTTCAGATCTTGAAGCTAACCATTACGATAATTCTACTGTGAGTCATTTAAGATTAAGATTTGGATATCGTTTTTTTTTTTCATTGCAACTGAAATGATTTTAATTATAGTTCTTTCTTTCATATGCTTCATATTGTTTAGAAACTTGCAACGAAGCAGATGCCAACGGATTTACCATAACAGTCATTTTAACTCTTGTTTTAGGGTACCTTTTGTGGTGAATCGACATTTCAACCATCTAGTTCTAGTTACAGTATGAAGTGGAATATTTCTAATAAATATTACAATATATATCCCCATATAAATTGGTCTTTACAAAAACAACATCAAAATACTGGTAGGACCGATATTGACATTGTAGTTTTATTCCAATTTTTCAAAACAACAAGGGTTAGGCCTCGCCTCATACCACGCAGTTATAACTCTCACTAGGACGCCATTTTTGCCCAATTATTGCACACAAGAAATTTCTTTTACATTCGTATGTTGTGGAACTTGTATTGAATATTCAGCTCTATCATCTTGATAAGCAAATAAGATGAAAGTGAAATTGTGCACTGGAAAATGAAAGAGTGTTCAACTATTATTTTGTATATATTTGTAATATTTTTATTCTAGATATATGGCTCAAAGAATACGAAAAGGAACTTTACACAAGAGATAGAATGCTGACACTACCATACCGTTTAGAAGTTTGTGAATCCTATAGAAGTCATTTACAATTTTGTATTGACAACGTCTGTTCTAAACCTGTTTATTCTGAAGGTGTGACGATCCTAGGAAAACCTGACAAACCAAAAATGAACATATTGATGACTACCGATCAAGAGGTATTCATATAAATGAAATATATTAAATACTTGGATACATCTTATACCTTTGTTAAATCCATAGTATAAAAAGACAATGCGAATTGAAGTCATCGATTTACAGCTTCCAAATACTCGCTATTTATCTATGTTTATTCTTTTTTGAAAGCTGAATGTTAGTTTAGAGTTTACATCGCCACCAACCAGTGAATCTTGTGATAATGTAATTAAAAGACTAGAATGGAGTATAACAGATAATCACAATGGAAGGCTGCTTACATTATGGAGGAAAGTGGATGAAGTTGTTAATAACGATAACAAGGTATTATATTGCCTTGATATCTTCTTATTCAACATAATAATAATGATAATGGTTTATTATTTATTGGTATATTACCAGAATTGTATTTGACGTCTTTTTAATTTGAATCTCACAATGTATGTTCTTATTGTTTTTGTTAAAATATACAATTTTAATCTAGAGCATGAACTGGTAATCTATTTCTAGATTCAGTTGAAGATAATTCTAGATGGTACAATAAATATTAATAAATGTATAAGGTTGGCTCTACGACTATTTAATAAGGCAGGGTTGTCAACCTTAATCTCAAAACAGATTCAAAACTGCTCAGCTGTAAATCCAATATTGATGCGACCACCCATAGTTATTGATGCTGTTAAACAAGGTAAAAATTATCATCATCATCAATCGAAGCAGCAACTAACACACCCTATTCAGTCTTTTCGGGTGTTGTATTATCACTAGAACTCTGTGCATTTTAAATTCTAGTTATGTACCAATACGAATTCAGGGATTGTTCAGACCCAATCCTAATACGACCAGCTATAGTTCTAGATGTTTTTAGACAAGGTAAAGACTTGTCATCATCATTATCCTCAGTCAGGAATATAATTAGTATGAATAATAAGGTAATAACTAATACCAATACTGCTGTTATATCATGCTACATTTTCAGAGAACAGAACTGGAATCGAACTAGAACCGAGTGCTCGATGGAACGAGCCGGATGTGGACTATACTCCCTATAATGATTTAATATCTGCTGTATGGCCGACATTAAGACATAGAAACTATACGTGGGGATTATTAGAGGGTCCATTACAACCCACGTCAACTTTATACAGTAATCCTGATATCGTTATACCAGATCCTTGTTCTCATCCTTCTACTATCATATGTGGACATTCAGGTAAATATGCGCATATGTGTTGAAACTTAAAGTATGTATTCTAATATCATTCATGATCAAAAGGTCACGTCTATAAGATTTCATTTGTACTAAAACTGAATAATAAAGCTATGAACTCTATGAAAGGGATGCGAAATTCTCGTCTAAACCTTGGGAATAGTACTTTTGATAATAGCCATATACGTAAACCTGGAAATATTTGTTCAAAATGTAATATATTTGACCAACAAAAATTGTTTTTGTTGTACTAGATAAAGAATATATTAATATAAAACCACCACAACTATTAAAACATGGTAGACGATATCATGTTTGTCTCCATGCTGATTCTACAACACTACAACATGAGAAATGGGATGAAAATCTGGAAGAAATTAATAGTTGTAGTGATGGTATAACAGTTGATTTATCTCCCCCTAGTGGAGGTCGAGTCTGGATACAAACAGACACTAATACTAACTATCAGGTATACGTAATTCAAGTCTGAATTCATTATAATTATTCATTTTTATAATTCATAATTTTTTCAAAAGTTTGTTTCTGTATTTAGATAAGATTATTCCACCCATACAATTTATTTTTTAATTGTAATTTTAATACATTATATGGTTTAGATCAGCACTTTTTCTTAATTTAATATGCTACTTTGAATAAGAATTACGTAATCGAGAATTACCTGCCGTTTGCCACAGTTAACATCAATGGATCATGTTTGTTTCTTGCCAAAAAAAAACATAAACGAAGGAGGTAATTTTGTATGGCACAATGTTGGAATGTTGAAATTGAAGTTAATTAACTGCCAATTCCCAAACTTAAGATCTAGAAATTACAAGTTTTCTTATCAGTTAGGGATAAAAAGTATCACACAATTGAACATCGTCTTTCTAATATTCCTGTAATGATTTGAAGTTATCTCTAAATTCATTACATATCTTTGCTATAATCGAGTACATGGTGCGTCTTAGGTATACTGATTATCAGTATAACAACGAAATATCACATTGAAGTTCAAATTTCAGTTAGGTATTAATTAAAGCCAAAACCCAAACATAAGATCCAGATATCATACAAATATATTTACTAAAGAAAAAGAAAAATATCGAACAATTGCTTATTTTTATACTTAATTACTTTATTGATTTGGTGTGCATACTGATTCACAGTAGAGCAATAAAATATTGTATTGACGTTCAAATTCTATTTTATTTCATTTAGGTGTCTAGTAATACTTTGACTGTATTTTGGGATTCATTTATTGATGTAGAAGAAGAAGGAGGAGCTGTACATCCTAGTGGAATTTCACATTATACTGTACAAATAGGTACGAAGCACCATAATACATCTGAGTGTCATTTTCTCTTTCTTCATTTTTGATTGTACTTATGTTTTAATTCAAAACGATTAATCTGAGCAAGAATGCACAGTT